CCCCGACTGTAGCTTCGGAGAAGAAGGAGAAGAAGCTACACGAGCAGAGACCCTCGGAGCTCCGCGCGGCTCTCTTGGGCCCCGGCGCCGGGCGGGGCACTCCAATGGAGGCAGAGCTGCGCGAGCGCGAGTTCCTTCGGGGCTCGCTGCGTGGCTCTCTCGGGCGCGGCGCTGGGCGGGGCACTCCCCGGCGGCGCCTCGCCGGCGCCGCCCCCTGGCGCGCGGAGGCGCCGCCAGGGCCTTGGCATCGCTCGGACGTGTGCATTTTTCCTTCGGCGAGGACCATCGAGGAGCATCCTCGATCACTTGGCGAAACAGCCACGCACGAAACCGAAGAAAGCACACGGAATGGACGTCCGAGCGATGGCGAGGTCTGCGCAGGGCTTTCTCCATGGGTCTGCGGAGGTCTCCTGGTGCCCTGGGGTATCTCCTGGCACCGCACGCAGCCACAATGGATCGACTTCTCTCTCCGCGGGTCTGCGGAGGTCTCCTGATGCCCTGGGACATCTCCAGGCACCGCACACAGACACAAGCGATCGTCGGCGCCCAGGAAGATGTGGGAGAACCAGGGGAAGATAGAAACCCAGAAAACGTAGGAAGATGTGGGGAATCCTGTCATCTGGTTCTGTTGATTTGTGTGTCCCAGGGCCCCTTCACAGAGGCGTGCCAGAGTCTCCACTTCCAGCTTCTGCCCGGATGTCTGGAGTTGCTTCGCGCGCGCGCGTGGCCTCCCCTGGGGGTCTGGGCGGAGAAAAGTTGCCCGGACGAAGTCCCGAGCAGGTTCTCGGCGTTGAGGGCCACGGATCGGGGATCTTCAAACGGTGCGGTGGCCACACGCCGTGTGGTGAGTCGGTGGGGATTCTCGGGGTCGCCGCACGGTTTTGGGCCTCGAGGCCCTTCTCCGACGACGTCTTGGGCGACTGGGGCCTCCAAGGTCCCAAAACCGTGTGGTGACGGACCGCGCGTCGTTGGGGACTCCAGAGTCACCACTCAGTCCGTCACCACTCATGAGGGGAAAAATCATACAAACACAATTCATCGCCGATCCCCCGGAAAATATGGGAAGACATGGGAAGTGGGCGGGGCAACGAAGATCCAGAAACCGTGTGAAAATGTTGAGAATTCTGGCATTTTTTGTGTACTTATTTGTGTGTCCTTGGGTCCCTTCAACCACACGGCTTTGCGGCCCCCACACGGATGCCACCGTTCTTTGGCGCGCGCCTTGGGTCCTGGGAGCGCCCCGAGAGCGCCAGGAGAGAGCTCCACGAGAGCCCAGGAGGGTCCGAGACGGCCCAAGATCAGGGCCTCCCAAATGGGGTTCGGGTAGATGGGGTCGAAGGATCTCGCCGCATCGCCGATGCATCGAAAATGCGGGTCGATGTGGAGCAAAATTCTCCCCACGCCAATAGCGCCAATGTATCGGCGACGTCGCTAGTGCATCGCCGATACATCGGCGATGTATCGCCGATGTATCGGCGATGCGGCGCGATCCTCCGAACACATCTACTCTGACCCCATCTAGGAGGCCTCTACAAGAGCGCCCCAGGACGCCCCAAGTTTAAAGTCGGGCGTGTCCCTCTACAGGAGGGGTATCCAAGAATAGTCAAAACATAGTCTGGGGACAATGTTTTCAGTACTTTAGGGCATTTTTATATTGTTTTTTTGGCTATTTATTATTTTTCGTCCAACATCACCCTGTAGGGGACGCCCGACTTATCCCGAGTTGCTTCTCGACTGTTCCAGAGGCCTCCGGACCGTCTCCGGAGGCCTTGCGGAGGGTCCCAACGGGAGGCCAGAGTCTCTGGCCTCCCGTTGGGATCCTGTCTGAAAGAGGCAACGCTCATTGATTTCACTTACATTTTGGGAGGGTTTTAGGGTACTCACTTGTTCTGGCGTCGCACGCTCCACGGCAGCCCAGTAGACGCGCAATACCGGGGGCGCGGTGGAGCTTTGGGAGGTGTCTGGGATGCCGTGGCTGACCAGGCGGCACTCCGTTGTCAATTGCAACGTTGGCGTTGAGGAGGACGGCTTGCCTCCGCTGTCTCTCTGGCAGTCCTGCGGGCATCTGGCAGAGCAGAGGCCCTCCCCTGGAAAGGTGCTCGCGGGAGGGTGCCCGGGGGCCCGAGCACGCGGGGCTCGATGCGCAGCGCTCTCGCCCAGTGCGCAGCCCGCACCCCTCTGCGCACTCGCCCGGGGGGCTCCCGGGGTGCAGAGCCTCGAGCCAGAGCGGCGCTGCCTGCAGAGCCGCCGGGGCCCCCGTCCGGGGCGGGGGTCGGGCCCGCCGGCGGGGCCGTCTCTGGGCCCCTGGCTCAAGGCGGGCCTGTCCCTCTGCAGGAGGAGCGTTCAAGAAGACAGGCTGAGGGCGACTCCTCGACCGTTTTCGACTACCAGTGGGCATGCCTTGCGTATGTTTTACTTCTCGTCCAGGATCCCCCTGCAGGGAGACACGCCCGACTGAACCCGTGGCCCGACGGTCGCGGGGGGGCCCGATCGTTTCAGCCAGCAGGGTCGGAGGGAGGAGCCGCGACGCCACCAGGGGGGGCCACCTCCCGCGAGGAGGTCCGCGATGCCTCCCCGAGCTGGAGGCTGGGTACGTCTCTCAGGAGGGAGCAAAACACACGGGCACAATCAATCGCCGATTCCCAGGAAAAGCTGCGAATATAGGGGAAGTGGGGGGGGGGGAAGACAAAAACCTGAGAATATATGGGGAAACCTGGGGAATCCTTTTATCTGTGTGTATTTATTTGTGTGTCCCAGGGCCCCTTCATACCTTCAGCGAAGAGGTTCGCGATGCCTCCCCGAGCTGGAGGCTGGGCACGTCTCGGGCGACAGCGGGGGACCACGCCACCAGGGAGACCCCCCTTTCAGGCGACCGCAAACCTGGATCAAGGGGGCGTGGATTAGCGACGGGTCCCGTTTTCCATGGGGAGTCGCGGGCTGTCGCCGAGCGAGCGAGGCGGCGCCGGCCGCATTTTGGGGAGGGCACCTCCCCCGATCCATGGGTTTGGCGACCGCGCGCCACATCCATGGATCGCCAATCCATGTGTGCGCGCCCCCGACCCTTGCTCTTACCAGCCTGGAACATGTCCCTATCCCTATGCTGGGCACCTCCTCATCACGATGCCAATCTTAGGGATTCCCTTATTTCTCGAGGGCGAATCCCTGAGATTGTCATCGCCTTTTCGCGTGCCAATCTCAGGGATGGGGATACGTTCGAGGCTGGTAATGCTCCTCGCACCTCCTCGCCCTGGTGGTGTTGGTGTCGCCTGTTCTTGCTGCTGGCATGGGGTGGGGAGCGCCCCCTCCTCCTCCTCCTCCTCCTCCTCCTCCTCCTCCTCCTCCTCCTCCTCCTCCTCCTCCTCCTCCTCCTCCTCCGCTTTCTCTTCCCCCGACCCTTGCTCTTCGCACCTCCTCGCCCTGGTGGTGTTGGTGCCGCCTTTTTCTTGCTGCTGGGCATGGGGTGGGGGGCGCCCGTGGGGGACCCCTGGAGGCGTTGCCGCCCGCACGGGCTTGCCTGAGGAGGGAAAAAACACACAGGCACAATGAATCCTCGACTCCCCAGAAGATATGGGAAAATATGGGGAGTGGTGGGGCAAGACAAAAACCCAGAACATATGCGAAAATTCGGGGAACATTTTTATTTGTGTGTATTTATTTGTGTGTCCTGGGGCCCCTTCACTCTGGAGGGCTGCCGCCAGCGCGGTCTTGCCTCGCCCGGCTCGGCGGCAGGCTGGCCTGAGCAGCAGCGGCCTGCCCAGAAGCTGTCCAGACCCGAGGTCGGGGGCGGCCAGGAGGGCGGTGATGGCCAGGAGGGGTGGCTGCACATCATGGCGGGGGCCATGCTATCTCCCTGAATATCATGCCCCCCTTGTTTTTCTCTTCTTTTTCTTCTTCTTCTTATTCTTATTATTATAATTATTAGTATTCGTCATTGTTATTCTTACCACTCCTCCTCGGTCTCTTCTTCTTCTTCTTCTTCTTGCTTGTTTTAAGAGTTTGTTCTCATCCTTCGTATTATTATTCTTCTTCTTCTTCTGCTTCTTCTTCTTCTTCTTCTTCTTCTTCTTTCAATTCGCTCCGTGGCCCCCCCTCGTCGGCGCACGTGCCTCGGGCCATGACCTGCGACCCCCCCCTCCCGGACGCCCCCCTCCCGGCCGCCCCCGCCGCAGGCCCGGCCCCTGGCCCGCCCCCGCGGGGGTGCCCCGGGCGCCCCCGGGCCGCGGCCGCGTCTCCGCGGGCCTCGCCGAGGCCTGGCCTCCTCCCGCCCGCGGCCTCGCCTCCTCCGCCGGATGCCTCCCGATCGAGGATGATCGCGGGTGGGCCGCGGGCGGGTCGCGGGGCGGGCCGCGGGGTGGGTCGCGGGGCGGGTCGCGGGGTGGGTCGCGGGCGGGTCGCGGGCAATTGCGCAGTTCGCAACCCCGCAGGGAGCCGGGAGGTCTGGGTTGGATCCGCGTACGTACAAGTCCATTCTGCGGGACTTCCCAGGAGCGCACGACAGAGGCGACCACCCGCGGCGCCTCCTGCGCGGCGCCTCCTGCCGCGCCTCCCCTCCCCGCGTGCAGGAGCCCCCCTTTCTTGTTCCCGTTTGCGCGGCGTGGGCCGGTGCAAAAAAACACCGCATCTGCCACGTGGGCAGGTCTGGCGGCGTCCTCTCGGACACCCTGGGTGGCGGATCGAGAGCAATGCAGCGCAGTGGGGCTGGATGGGTGGGAGCGGTAGGATGTTGGGTGTGGCGCGGACGCGCCGGGCTTGCCTCCCCCCTCCCTCTCCCCACCCCTGCGCCCCGCTCGCTCCTTCCCCCTGCCCATCCCTCTCCCACTCCTCCTCGTTGTCGGCATCCTCCACGTCGTCCTCATCGTCGTCGTCGTCCTCGTCGTCGTCGTCCTCCTCCTTGTCCTCGTCCTCCTCGTCCTCCGCGTCGTCCTCATCGTCCTCCTCGTCGTCGTCGTCGTCGTCGTCGTCGTCAACCTCCTCTTCCCGTAATCAGACCGCTTGCGCAGGAGCCCGACGCGTTGGCGCACTTCGCCGTAGGCCAGCGCCGCGAGAGCTTCGAGCTGCCGCCGCGGGTGCCACCGTCGTCGTGTGGCTGGCTGAGCAAGAACGGGCCGACTCCTCGGGCATTCGCGCGTGAGCTTCCCGCGCAAAGGCGCGCGTGAACGCCCTCGTTTCCGCGCGGTGTGCTGCGTTGGCGGCCGGCGTTGCCCACCGCGTAATGTCCATATGTCCTTTCGCGTGCGACGCCCTTCCTTTTGGCGCGGCCGTACTGTTATCGCTGCGATGGCCGTTGCCGCTCATCGGGGTGGGCGAGTGGGCGCTCAGGCGACGCACAAGCGAGTTGGGGAGTTGTGTCTATAACAGCTTAGTTCAGGCACGCGGTCCGACACGATCCCGTGGCTTCCCGTGTCACTCGAAGACACAAACGGCATAAACATACAGTTGGCCCGGATTAGCAGGTCGACCCTGCCAAATCAAGGGTACCCTTGTGTCCTGAGCTTCGCGACCCACGTCTTCTCACATTCCTGTGGCAATGCGGCCCTCAGAAGGGTCTTGTGCCCCCTCGCGTGTCCTCTCCAGTCAATCCTGACTGTATGCTTTCGGTGCTCCGCGCGGATTGCTGTGATCTGCGCTGAATCCCCCTCTCTAAGTCGGACCTGTCCCCCTACAGGGGGATTTTCGACGAAAAATAGAGAATACTCATAACATATTCCAAACTGGTCAAACAAGAAAAACATCATCCCCAGACTTTTTTGACTATTTTTGAGTATCCCTAGGGGGCCAGATGCGAACCGTACCCTTACCCCCCACGATTTCTGAGGGGGAGAGCGGGGTTCACTTCGCTCGGGAGCTCCCGAACGAAGTGAACCCCACCCTCCCCCTCAGAAATCGTAGGGGGTAGGGGTAGGGTTCGCATCTGGCCCCCCAATCCCTCCTGCAGAGGGGCGGGCCCGACCTAACCCTCTCTGTCCGACGCGCGGAGCGCGCCAGGGGCGGCGCCGGAGTCGCCGCCTGGGGGGGGGAGGTCCTGGCATACCCGGAGGCGGACAGAACCCCCAGCAGTAACACGTCGATTCGTGAATTGTCCGTTTTCAGTTCTCGAGAGGGCGCCGTGGCCGTTATCTCCCAGGCCTGCGCCCGCCAGGGAGGTCCCGTATACCTCGGGGGTGGATAGACTTCCCACCCTGACACGTCGATTAAGGAATTGGCCGTTTTCGGTTCGCGAGAGGGCGTCGCGGCCGTCGTTTTTGCGGGTCCAGGTCCGTCGGCTTCGGTCCCAGGCCGTTTTCACGAAGGGGAGGTCTACTAAAGGGATGTCTGTGTGGCCTCTCACCCTGGCCGACGGGCGCCGGGCAGGGCGCCTCAGGAAGGAGCGGGCCCTCGGGAGGAGGAGGAGGAGGAGGAGGAGGAGGAGGAGGAGGAGGAGGAGGAGGAGGAGGAGGAGGAGGAGGTTTTTTGTTGCAAGGGGCGGCCCAGGGGACGCCGATCGTGTGGTCGTTCCGTCGTTCTCGTGGCGTTCGCAGGGGGGGCCTTCTCGTTCTCCCGGGGCGGGCGCCGCAGGCCCCCATTTGGAGGCTCCCGGCCACTGGTCTCGAGCTCGTCGGGCCGGCCGGCGCCGCCCTGGGCCTCCCGGGTCCGAGTCCGCTCCAGCGAGGGGGGCAGTCAATTCTGCGCGCGGAGAGGGGAGGAGGAGGAGGAGGAGGGGGGAGGGGGAGGGGGAGGTGGGAGGAGGAGCCAGAGACGGAGGAGCCATGTGGGGGAAAGGCCAGGAAGGGAGGCACGGCAGGAAACGCACGGCAGGGGGCGTGCTTGCCGGGTCGTCCTCGGGCGGGCGAGCTAGTTCTCGCCCGCCGATGCAGTGCGCCTGGCGCTCCGCTGCCGCGCTCTGGCCAGTTGTCGCCTGCTGCCCGGCGATTGTCAGGGCCGGGCCTGACGATTCCCCCCCTCCCCCTCCTCGCCCCTCCGCCCCCCCCTCTTCCTCCTTGTCCGTTTCGCACTCGCTGCGCGAGAGGCTCGAAATATTTGGAAGAGCGTGTTCTGCCGCTGCTGTCAGAAAACTGGGCGGGGGAGCACTGGGGGTTTCAAGCCCGCCCCACCCCCCCTCGAAAACCGAGGGGGGTCACTGTGGTTCCCCCCCCCCCGTCAGGTCCATCATGAAAATGGGGGGGAGGGGGGCACTGCTGGTTCGACCCCCCCCCATCCTCGCCGCCGGCAAACGATTCCCCCTTCTCCCTTACTCCGGATGGCGGACTGTGGTGGGGACAGTGGTTGGGACGGTGGTGGGGATGGTGGAGGGGAGTGGGGACAGTGGGACACTGGGGAGAGTGGGACCATGGTGGGGACAGTGGTGGGGACAGTGGGGACAGCGCGACAGTGGTGGTGGCACTGGTGGGGTCAGTGGGGACAGTGGTGGGAACAGTGGGGACAGTGGGACAGTGGTGGTGACGGTGGTGGTGAGGACAGTGGTGAGGGGACAGTGGGACAGTGGTGGGGACAGTGGGGAAAGTGGGACAGTGGTGGGGACAGTGTTGAGGGCGGTGTTGAGGACGGTGGTGGGACAATGGGACAGTTGTACAGTAGGGGCAGTGGTGGGGACAGTGGGGATTGGGACAGAGGTGGGCACAGTGGCGACAGTGGGACAGCACAGTGGGACAGCGGTGGGGACACTGGGACACTGGTGGAGACAGTGGGGACAGTGGTGGGACAGTGGTGGGGACGGCGGGGACAGTGGGGAGAGTGGGACAGTGGGGAGGACTGGGGACAGGAGACGCTATTCAGCGGCGGAAGTCACAGGGAAGCTTCCCATCATCCTAACGTCGAGGCTGCTCGGGCAGGGATCCAGCGCGTGCGGGCGGACGCAAGCCTGGCCGTTGTCGAAATGAACCGCTGCTCGCAAGCTCCCGAGGCGGCAGCGGCTCCCGCAGCGGGCGGGCCGGGGGAGGGAGGGCGCGACCGGCAACGAGCGCGAGCCCCGCGGGCACTGTGCAGAAGCCGTCGCCCTGTGCTGCGCCGCGGTGCGCGGCGGAGGTCTCGCCGAGGGAAGGAGCGCCTCCGAGGGCTCCTGCTGGTGCCAGGAGGTCCAGCGGGAAACGAATAATGACATAAGCATCAAACATCGGAGGTCCGCGGGGATTTCTCGGATCAGCGCTGGGGCCACCTGGCGGCGCATCCGGCGCCGCCCCTGGCGTGCTCCGCGCGCCAGGGAGGGGGGGTCATGCGCCGATCCGAGAAATCTGCGCGGACCGAGATTTTATGTTTCTGTCATTCTTCTCTCCCCTAATTAGGCCGATGATGTCAGGGGATCCGCTGGCAAAAATGAACCTGACGAAGGACCCAATCATATGAAGGTGTGAGTACCGCAATTGTGATCCACTTGTTCGGTGGTGATCCCTATGAGGCAACGAACCGTGCCAGGGGTGTGCCGAAATGAGCGGCGTGGTGCACAACGCGAACAAACATGAACAACACAATGCGGACTGCGCCACGGGGACGTTCGGTGGGGCTCCATACGGGGCCACGAAACGTTGTACTGGGTGAGGGAGACGCATGCGGACTGCGCCACGGAGACCTTCGGTGGAATTCCCTATGGGGCCACGAAACGTGTGAGGGGTGTGCCGAAATGAGTGGCGAGGACGCATGCGGACTGTGCCACTGGGACCTTCGGCGGAGCTCCTATGGGGCCACGAAACGTGTGAGGGGTGTGCCGAAATGAGTGGCGAACCGTGCCACTGGGACCTTCGGCGGAGCTCCTATGGGGCCACGAAACGTGTGAGGGCCATGCGGACTGTGCCACTGGGACCTTCGGCGGAGCTCCTATGGGGCCACGAAACGTGTGAGGGGTGTGCCGAAATGAGTGGCGGGGACGCGTGCGAACTGTGCCACTCCTTCGGCGGAGCTCCTATGGGGCCACAAAACGTGTGAGGGGTGTGCCGACATGAGTGGCGGGGACGCATGCGAACTGTGCCACTGCGACCTTCGGCGGGGCTCCTATGGGGCCACGAAACGTGTGAGGGGTGTACCGAACTGAGTGGCGGGGACGCATGCAAATTGTGCCTCTGGGACCTTCGACGGAGCTCGCTCCTATGGGGCCACGAAGCGTGTGAGGGGTTTGCCGAAATGAGTAGCGAGGGCGCATGCGAACTGTGCCACCGGGACCTTCGGCGGAGCTCCTATGGAGCCACGAACCGTGTGAGGGGTGTGCCGAAATGAGTGGCGGGGACGCATGCGGACTGTGCCACTGGGACCTTCGGCGGAGCTCCTAGTTATGGGGCCACGAAACGTGTGAGGGGTGTGCCGACATGAGTAGCGGGGACGCGTCCGAACTGTGCCACTGGGACCTTCGGCGGAGCTCCTATGGGGCCACGAAACGTGTGAGGGGTGTGCCGACATGAGTGGCGGGGACGCATGCGAACTGTGCCACTCCGACCTTCGGTGGGGCTTTTATGGAGCCACGAAGCGTGTGGGGGGTGTGCCGAACTGAGTGGCGGGGACGCATGCGGACTGTGCCACTGGGACCTTCGGCGGAGCTTCTATGGGGCCACGAAACGTGTGAGGGGTGTGCCGAAATGAGTAGCGAGGGCGCATGCGAACTGTGCCACTGGGACCTTCGGCGGAGCTCCTATGAAGCCACGAAACGTGTGAGGGGTGTGCCGAACTGAGTGGCGGGGACGCATGCGGGCCTGCGGTGGGCGGGGAGGACGCATGCGAACTGTGCCACTGAGGCCTTCGGTTGAGCTCCCTATGGGGCCACGAACCGTGTGAGGGGTGTGCCGAAATGGGCCTGCGGTGGGCGGGGAGGACGCACGCGAACTGTGCCACTGGGGCCTTCGGTGGGCTCCTTATGCGGCCACGAACCGTGTGAGCGGTGTGCCACAATGTGTCTGCGGTGGGCGGGGAGGACGCATGCGAACTGTGCCACTGGGGCCTTCGGTGGGGTTCCGTATGCGGCCACGAACCGTGTGAGGGGTGTACCTAAATGTGCCTGCGGTGGGCGGGGAGGACGCATGCGAACTGTGCCACTGGGGCCTTCGGTGAAGCTCCCTATGGGGCCACGAACCGTGTGAGGGGTGTGTGCCAAAATGGGCCTGCGATGGGCGGGGGGGGCGCATGCGAATTGTGCCACTGAGGCCTTCTGTGGGGCTCCCTATGGGGCCACGAACCGTATGAAGGGTGTGCCAACATGGGCATGCGGTGGGCGGGGAGGACGCATGCGAACTGTGCCATTGGGGCCTTCGGTGGGGCTCCCTATGGGGCCACGAGCCATGTGAAGGGTGTGCCAAAATGTGCTTGCGGTGGGCGGGGAGGGCGCATGCGAACTCTACAAGTGATGCCTTCGGTGGGGCTCCCTATGGTGCCACGAACCGTGTGAGGGGTGTGCCAAAATTGACCTGCGGTGGGCGGGAAGGACGCATGCGAACTGTGCCACTGGGGCCTTCGGTGGAGCTCCCTATGGGGCCACGACCCGTGTGAAGGGTGTGCCAAAATGGGCCTGCGGTGGGCGGGGAGGACGCGTGCGAAGTGTGCGACTGGGGCCTTCAGTGGAGCTCCCGATGGGGCCGCGAACCGTGTGAGGGGTGTACCTAAATGTGCCTGCGGTGGGCGGGGAGGACGCATGCGAACTGTGCCACTGGGGCCTTCGGTGAAGCTCCCTATGGGGCCACGAACCGTGTGAGGGGTGTGCCAAAATGGGCCTGCGATGGGCGGGGGGGGCGCATGCGAATTGTGCCACTGGGGCCTTCGGTGGGGCTCCCTATGGGGCCACGACCCGTGTGAGGGATGTGCCGAAATGGGCCTGCGGTGGGCGGGGAGGACGCATGCGAACTGTGCCATTGGGGGCCTTCGGTGGAGCTCCCAATGGGGCCACGAACCGTGTGAGGGGTGTGCCTAAATGGGACTTCGGTGGGCGGGGGGGACGCATGCGAACTGTGCCACTGGGGCCTTCGGTGGAGCTCCCAGGATGGGGCCACGAACCGTGTGAGGTTTGTGCCAAATGAGCATGCGGTGGGCGGGGGGTGCGCATGCGAATTGTGCCACTGGGGCCTTCGGTGGAGCTCCCTATGGGGCCACGGCCCGTGTGAGGGGTGTGCCAAAATGGGCCTGCGGTGGGCGGGGGGTGCGCATGCGAACTGTGCCATTGGGGCTTTCGGTGGAGCTCCCTATGGGGCCACGAACCGTGTGAGGGGTGTGCCAAAATTGCCTGCGGTGGGCGGGGAGGACGCATGCGAACTGTGCCATTGGGGCCTTCGGTGGAGCTCCCTATGGGGCCACGAACCGTGGGAGGGGTGTGCCGAAATGGGCTGGCGGTGGGCGGGGAGGACGCATGCGAACTGTGCTATTGGGGCCTTCGGTGGAGCGCCCTATGGGGCCACGAGCCGTGTGAAGGGTGTGGCGACATGGGCGGTGGGGACGATGATGATGACGATGATGATGAGGAGGATGTGGATGAGGATGATGCTGCAGATGATGGTGCTGATAGATGATGGGTGATGGTGATGATGGTGACGATGGTGTGGGGAAGGGGAGGGGATGATGATCATGATGATGACGATGATGCTGCTGATGATGATGATGATGATGGTGATGATGATGATGATGATGATGATGATGATGGTGACGATGATGATGATGCTGATGCTGATGCTGATCATGATGATGATGCTGATGCTGATGCTGTTGATGATGAGGATGAGGATGAGGATGAGCATGAGGATGATGATGATGATGCTGGTGATGGTGATGATGATAATGCTGATGATGATGATGATGATGGTGGTGGTGGTGGTGATGTTGATGATGCTGATGCTGATGATGCTGATGATGCTGATGATGATGATAATGATGATGATGCTGATGATGATGATGATGATGATGATACTGCTGCTGCTGCTGCTGCTGCTGATGATGATGATGATGATGATGATGATGATGATGATGATGATGATGATGATGATGATGGTAGTGGTGGTGGTGGTGGTGGTGATGGTGATGGTCATGGTGATGGGAAGGGAGGAGGGGGAGGAGGAGAGGAGGAGGTGGGACGCGGGGCGCTGTCTCTTCAAAACGAGGCCCAACACCACAGGATGGTAGGGAAATACACGGGCGCCCTCCATTGGACCGTTCCTGGGCCTCAGGGGAGGGTGGTGGTGGAGAAATCACTACTGAGGGGCAGCGACCTTCTACACCGACGCCCTCCCTGGAGGTACATGAGGGCGTCCGTGTATAGATTTTCGTGGCGCGGGGTCGGGGAAACGTAAGACTCCAGTACGCAGGGGCGTGGGTTTGCCGACGCTTTTTGACGAGCCCGTCCTGGAGTTTCACGGTCCTATTCTCGTGGGATGTCTGCAGCGGGAGCCCGCGTCAAATTTCAGATTAGGTCTCGTCATTTTCATGATGGCTCCGTCAGTCCATCCCGAGCCCCCCGTGCCCTTCAGTCGGGCCTGTCCCTCTACAGGGGGAGTATCCAATTCAAACAACTAGTCCGGGGACGATTTTTTGACTACTATCTTGAGCATGTTTGGAGCACGTTTTGGGTATATGTCCCGTCCAAAATCGGCCTGTAGGGGGGGGACAGGCTTATGATGTTCCACCCTACTTAGCCTTGGCCACCAGAAAGGATCTCGAGCACCAAGACAGGACCGAGACTGGAGGGTTTTCACGTGTCGGGCCCTGGGAGGCGATACTCGTTCGACACCGTTTCGATACCTTTTTGGGTGCTCGAAACTGTTTTTAGGATTCGGTCCTCTAGTACGATGGGAGCAACATACATCGCATGGTCGCCATCTTTTCAGTGGCCGGCAGTGCGCGACCATGTCGCCACATCGTCCGCGCGGGGGCGCATCTTGACCAGTGCTTGGCCATATTTTTAATCCAATGTATTCGGGCGCGGGCGCGCGGGATGCCATTCTCCCTGCTCTACGACCCATGTTCTTAAACATCCCATGTATGAATAATCCCATGTATCAAACATGCCCCTGTAAGGACGGGCCCGACCTGACCCTGCCCGAGTCGTGGCGCAGGGGCGGCCGGGGAGGCGGCCCAAGAGGAGCGAGAGGGGACCCCCGCCGCCCGTGTCGGGCGCGAGAGCGGGCGGCGGCCCTGCCCCCCCTCCTCCTCCTCCTCCTCCTCCTCCTCCTCCTCCTCCTCCTCCTCCTCCTCCTCCTCCTCCTCCTCCTCCTCCTTCTCCTTCTCCCTCTCCCTCCTCCTCCCTCCTCCCTCCTCCCTCCTCCCTCGTTCCTCCTTCCTCCTTCCTCCATCCCTCCATCCCTCCTCCCTCCTCCCTCCTCCCTCCTCCCTCCTCCCTCCCTCTTCCTCCTCCTGCCTCGGGATTCCCGGGGGCTTTTGCTGGTGGATCCGGCTCGAGGGGTCTCGGTCGACGGTTCGCCGGGGGGGTCCGAAAGGGGGTTTTTGGGGAGGGGGTCTTCCAGGAGGGGGTCCCCCAGGGGCATCGCGCCCCCCTTCCTTTGACGAGGCTCCGAGGCCCCTGGGGGGCCTCTCTGGAAAACCCCCTCCCCTCAAACCCCCTTTGGAACCCTCCGGGTTCGGGCCGAGGTTGTATTGAGAAGGCCTTGCGGCCTGTGCCGCCGACCCTGAAGACGACGACGAGGAGGAGGAGGAAGAGGAGGAGGAGATCGAGGAGGAGGAGGAGGAGGAGGAGGAGGAGGAAGAGCAGCAGGACCTCCCCCCTCCCGGCGGGTAGGGATCAGAGGGCAGGGGTTTCCTTTCGAGTATTACGACCGCTCGGGGAGTCTCGGTCGACAGTGCGGGCCGAGATAATATTCACCATGTTCTTATGGCTTCTTCTTCTTCTTCGTCTTCTTCTTCTTCAGAGAAGAAGTAATTTGTTGGCGCTCAGCGCGGATTTCCTGGATCCGCGCCGGGCCCCCCCGGCGGCGCCTCTGGCGCCGCCCCTGGCGCGCTCCGCGCGCCAGGGAGGGGTCCTGCGCAGGTCCAAGAAGGCTGCGCGGAGCGGCAAAAGCTTTTTTTTTGGGGGGGTCTTATTCTCTCCCTCTCTGTTTCTCATGGCGTCGGACGTCGGGGGGTGGGGCCGAGACATACCCTGGAGGCCGGGGTGAACGGATCAGAACCTCAGAGTCCAGGTGGGGAAGAGGGCGGGTGGAGAAACGAGGTTCGGCGAAGTTGGCTCGGCTCCTCGTCGTCGTCGGAGCCCCAGGCTACGAGGGCGTCCCGTGGACGCACCCGGACTCGATCACTTTCATGGTGATGCAGTCCATCATCGGGAGCTACAAGAGGGGCGAGGGTTTGGTGCCGCTACCATTCCTTTTCGGAGGAGGAGGAGGAGGAAGAGGAGGAGGAGGGAGGAGGAGGCCTCCCGATCCTCCTTCCCCTCCTCGTCGTGCCTTGGGCCGTCGGCGCCCCCGGCTTATGAAGCTGTGGGCCTGCTGCACTTGGCTCGCGTCTTTCCCCACAACAATTTGCCACACCACTTCCACCCCACCCCTGCCGCCACCACCCCCACCCTCGCAAACCACGACCCCCAACTACCACCCACCACTCCCCACCGTCACCGCATTTAAGCACAGCCACCCCACCAACCAACACAATCCACCACCACCCCACCCACCACCACCACCAATGTTCTACCACCACTCACACGCACAGCACCGCCCCTCCCATCCCCAACTACCACCACCGTCCAACCCCACCCGCCACGACCACCAACAACCGCCAACCATTGGCATCCACCACGAGAATCACCCACCCCATCCGATACCACTACAACCGACTACCATCAACACCACAAGTTCCACAATTACTCACCATCTCAACTTTTGACGACCAACCACCATAATGGCGGCAACCACCACTCTCCCGCCACCCAGAGGCCCCCACAATCGGCCACCACCAACATCCCACTCATGCCGCTACTTTCTTCACCAATCGACGAGATACGCTGGCGATTTGCAATCCGCAGATTGAATCATCGAAGTGTTGACGGGTGTTCCCATCTTTACATGTGCACGCGACGATCGAATGACTTTCCATCTTTCAAAGTCGCACGGAACGGTTGACATGTATTAGTCCCACGTTCCAGACTCTATTTCAGTCCGAGCGTGTCGTTGCCTGCAATGATAGCCCCTTCTCCGTCCCCGTCTACATGCTCTGGGCGCGGCTAGAACGGGGATTCATGCATTCCAGAGCGTTCCGGAGCGCTCTGAGAAGGCCGCGGCGCCCAAGACATCGTCCAGAGCCGCCGGTTCTCAGAGATTCTCGATTCATCCTCACCCGATGCTATCTTCGTCCTGGCTTCGTCTCAATGCCCCCGGCTCCTCTTCCGTCCACCTCCTTCCGCCGCGTTGCGAGGTGCCGCCGAAGCTCTCCGGCAACCGGCTCACCAACAACCTTGCCAACAATTTAGGCCCCGTCGCGGCCGAGTCGTTCGCCGCCTTCAACACCTGCTATAAGGACGGCTCGGGGCCCAGGGCCTGGCCGGGAGGAGGAGGAGGAGGAGGAGGAGGAGGAGGGGGAGGAGGAAGAGGAGGAGGACGAGGAGGAGGAGGAGGACGACGAGGAGGAAGAGGAGGAAGAGTGGACGTAGGATGAGGAGGAGGCCAGATGTGGGCAGGAGAAGGAGGAGGGCCAAGAGGGCAAAGAGGAGGGGCAGGACCCGCAGCAGGAGGTGGGGGATCGGGAGGAGGAGCAGGAGGAGCAGGAGGGGGAGGAGACGAGAGGAGGAGAAGCGAGTTTTTCCGCGTGGGGAGGGGTGAACCCCTCACTAAGGGGAAATACGACGGGTGGACGAGCTAACTCGCAAAACCGCCAACGCCACGGGGGCCAGCGAGTCTCAAAGAGGCTGCACTGAAAACCTTGGGAGTCCCAGACACTGAACCCGTCCGAAGTCCTCAGACCTCCGACGCCAGGTCACTTTAATCCATGGGTTCCTTGGTCCTCGATCCCAGCACTCGTACGTATGCGTTGAGGAGAAGAATGAGGAAATGGAGGAGACAAGCTAGGTAAGACCATTTGGCCTCTGGCGGGCCCGCGGGTCCCGATCGATCCATCGGGTTCGATCGCGCCTGCCGCCCGATCAATCGCGGTGGCAGAGGGCATCGCGCATCGGCCAGCCCGCGAGCCCCGGGCAGCCCGCGAGCCCGGGCTCATGCGTGCCGCGCGCCATCGTCCTGCGGCAGTGGGGCCATCCGTGCCCCCCCTGCACCCTGCCGCAGGCAGCGGCGCCAGCGGCCGTGCTGCGGCCACCCCGCGGCGGGACGCCGCAGCAGGGCCGAGGCGGCGCTCCAGAAGGAGCAGCGCATCGGCGAGAGCGTGACAGGCGAGGCAGCGCTCGGCTCTTGCTGAGGCTCCTCCAGGCCAAAGAGATCCTGACGAAACACCAGTCCGCCCAGTAGGCCGAGATGTCCAAGCCCTGGGGGACAGACTTGGATATGCCGAGGATGCAAGCAGTTCAAGACCAACAAGGTGTGGTTTTGTGCGAAATGCGGCACGGCGTACGGCAAGAAACCACAGCAGTCGAAGCCAAGAGCAAAGATGGTGGACAAATACGCACAGCAGATCATCGACGCGATCTCCTCCGCCTTGGAGACCACGGCGGTCAACAGGCACGACATTCATGAACAACCGCCTCACGACCCTGCTATGCAGAGTGCCTACAAACACAAGTGGGAAAGAGGATGTGACTCGTGGCAGGAGTCATCCTGACGAGCAAGGCGGCGTGCGGTAGCACAAAAAGCACGCGACGGTTATACCACTCATCAAGTACTGATTGTACTCCTTCGCCCGCGGCACAAACGACTAGCGTATGCGCGCAGGACGCGGGGCCAGCTCGCACAGAAGCTCATGGGAATAAGGAACCAGCATCAGGAACTAGAGAATCAGATCGCGATCGTAGAGGAGGCGATCCAGAATGCAGACAGGCACATCGCCGACATCATGGAGCAAGCCCGCGAGGAGGAGGGGGAGAGGAGTGCGGACGGCGAGGACGAAGAGATGGACGCTGAAGAAGATGCGCGGCCAAAAGCTCCTCCAGCACGGGCACGCCCACCACCGCCGACGACGCCAAGCGGGGCGAGCGGACCCAGCGGAGGACAGGCTGCACCTGCACAGCGCCCCCCTTTGGAGCACGCCCACCAGGCAGATGACACGAAGGAGGCGTTCCGCATGATCAGGAATCAGATGCAGTTCCGAGGCGCGAAGATCGAGGGCTAGCAGACGATGCTGAAGAGCGTCGTTGACGATGCTAGACGGTTCTAACAGGCCATCGCGAAGGAGATCCAGTACCAGAACGAGATGCTGAATGCGGACATGAAAGCCACTTCACAAGGACTGCATGCTGAGGTGAAGAAGGCTGTCACTGCCATGGCCGCGGGAATTGCGATGGAGATCCAGCAGCATGATGCCAAGCAGTTGCACCAGAAGTGGCATCATAATCAGAGTTGGCAGAAGCGACAGCCGCGACAGCACCTTGAGCAACGACATCTTCTACAGCAACAACAACAAGAGCTGCGCCAACTTCAAGCAGCAGGTGCAACAGCTGAAGAACACGGACAAGCAGGAGAGGGCCTCGCCTTGGCAGGCGGATCAGGAATGGACACAACAAGCTAGGCTGGCGACGGCGAAACTGCACGGAAGAGCGGACATGCGAAGCCGGGCCAGATTCCAGGTGGGCACGCTGCCGCCCACATTCCCGCCAAAGACGTTGCCAGCCGCGCACCTCCAGCCAGGTGGAGATGAAGTCGCGCAACGTATCGAATGGAGAGAGGGGGGCAAAGCAGAGGAAGAGCAGCGGCGGAACAATAAGGCCGAATACGAGGAGGAGCGACGCGCAGCCGAACCAGAGGCAGCACGGAAAAAGCTACATGGAGCATGACCATGACTGCCAGCAGCAGATTTGGGAAGACGACGAGAAGAGGGAGATGGAGGAGGAGCACGAGAAGGAGATGCAGCGGTGAAAGCGGCGGGTTGGCTGGTGGCACCACATCATGAACTGGGAGGGGGAGCGGGGGAAAGCCAAAGATGGAAGAGGGGAAGTGCCGACGGCCAGAAGACAACCGGCGGCGGAAGGATTACACGGATCAGCAGGTGGAGCACGCGAAGAAGGAAGAAGGAGGCGCAGTTCCGAAAGACGAAGCAGCTGAAGCACCTCTGCCGCCAACGCCGCCGCCCCTCCCCGAGCAGGAGTGGCGGCGCGAACCGACGCCCGCCGAGCCTGCGCAGAGCCCGGGAGAAGAGCGCGCCAGCGACATCAGCGAAGAAGAGGGCCACATATCCAACGCGGAGCCCGCGGACACGTCGGCGGCGGAGGAGCAGGAGCGGATGCGGAGATGCACTGGCTACAAGAAGAGCGGCAGCAGGCCCGGCGACGGCCTGGGGCCAAGCGGTGCAAGTCAACCACGCGGACCCGTTCGGGGGCGAGTGCAAGACTTGGAGGGCGCGGCGAAGCGCCAGACCAGCACCATGAAGCCGTTCGGGGTGCACCTCCGGCCTCGCGCCGCGGAGTCGGGGGGAAACGCGCGAGACATTGGCGCGCGCGGGCGCCCCGGCATGCGCGACAGACAATTCTGCGCCGCTGTCTGGCCAGCGGCGGGCCCGCCGCGGCGGATCATCGACGCCATGTTTGAGGAGCTTCTCAGTTGGTGGAATGAGGGCGTCCGCCAGCTGCTCAGACAGTGAGCGACGGCGGCCGCCTCGCTACGGGCACCAAGTGCACGCCCCTGAAACTCGTCGGAGTGACGGAGACGCGCGCCAGGCACGAGCTGGCAATGATGATAGCATTTCAGGCGCGGCCCTTTTCGCGAATTCACTGGGCAGGTCCGAACGTGAGCTGCCTGAAGCAGGGCGAAGGCCAAGATTATCGAGGTGAAGAACAGCATCAGCAACTATGCCAGCAGATTGCCGCTGTCCTGCCGACGGAGGCGCAGCCATGGGAGACAATCTCACGCCCGCTACATCCTGCGCCCAGGCTCACCAGGAAGCTCCGAGGCAGGGGGGGCCTACTCATCGATCAGGACATCGCGAACATCGAGCTGCGCCCATTCGCGGAGCCGGCTACCATAATGCGCCCGCTAACTCGGGTGTCACGCAGACGCGTTCACCAAAATGTGGACGGGAGCTTCTCGGCGAAACGGAAGGATCAAGCAGCTTGGGCCGCGGTCATTGCTGGTCAGGCGGAATGCGATTTACATGTCAAGGTTACATTGCATGCAAGGTCGCGGATGCGGAGCACCTGGCCAACGACGCTGCCGAGATGACGGGATTGCTCTGGGCGCGCATCTCGGCGTGCACTCACTTCCCCAACGCGCAGATATCCATCCGCGCCGATTGCCTCGCAGCCAAGGGGGGGGGGCGCCGCGGGAGGTTCGACTATCGACGAAGAAAAGGAATTGCCGAGGATGTTAAGACTTATTTCCAGAGACATGCACCGACGCGCGGGCGTCACGCCAGAGCATGTACAGTCGCGCGATGGGCATCCCCGGTATTAAATGGCGGACAGCATCTCAAAGCACACAGCGAGATATTGGGCGCATATGCAAGTTCCCCACGGGCATCACTGACGTGCTGCACTACTCCAGAGACGACGAATGGCAATGGATTGAAGACCCACCTGCCGCAGACCGGCTGGCCTGCCCGAAGATGTGCGAGAGCGGATGGGAAATGCCGCGTGCACATCAGAAATACGAGGGGCAAGCCTCGGGTCGTGGACCTCTGCCAGCAGACGGTGCCAGCCGCAACTGCGGTAAGCGCTGGTCACTGGCAGATATCAGTATTGAGACGGGTTGTGGACCAGGAGCAGCAGGCGGCACCGGCCACCTCGGCGGCGCGCGCTGACCACTGCTCCAAACATGCATTGAGAACGTCTTAGGGGCAAGATCAGCTGGCGCCGACGGCGCGCGCTACACGGAGCTGCGGAGCCAGGAGAGGCAAGGGCCAAACCTCGAGAGGGGCTCGATGGGGTGGGGGGCCAGGGCGGCGACTGCTCGCGCCCGCCAGCGGAGGCGGCGGAGGGCAGGGGGGGGGGGCGGGCGTTCCCCGCGCCCCCGCGGTCCGCCATAGCTCGCCACCCTCGCCGCCTCCGCGGCGAGGGGGGCGCCGCCCCCGCGGTTGCAGGGCGCAGGGCCATGCGAGGTCAAGCGCCCGGCGAGGATCAACGGTCGAAGCAAACCAGCGGGAGTAGCGCCGACTGCAATAGGCCGAACGGCGAGATCGTCGTCACCATAGCCACCTATAACGCTCTCGCGATGAAGGCCGAAGCAGAGGCGGAGGTGCACGAAGGAATGGTGTCACTGCGCAGACGCCTCGTCCGTCTCCAAGCGTTGCAGAGAAAGGTGCGCGTCATGGGCGTCCAGGAGACGCGTCAACCAGCAGGAGTCCCACGCGGCGATGGCTTTGTTCTTTTCGCTGCAGGGGCGGACGCCGGACACCGGATGCGGCGCCCCACTAAACTCGGCAGGTCTGGCTGGGAAGAGCCGCGGCGGATATGTATATGTCAGAGCATCGCGTGTACACCAACTACGCGGTTACCCGCGACGATACCTTGCCCCGCATCAGCGCCGCTATTTGAAGACTGCTTCGCAGTCCTGCATGCGCTGCGTCACGATTGCCCGGCAGTGTTTCGACGTGCTTGGTGGGGGGAAACGCGTAGACTGATTTCCAAACATGCGGCGACAATAGCAATGATGGGCGCCAACGGGCAGATAGGACAGCAGGACGAACAGCTTCCATGGATCGGAAGCCAAGGGCTGGCAGAAAAGACGGGGCATAATGGAAAAGAGCTCATGGACGTGTCGATCGTGAACGACCTTCGCATCGCGAACGCAAGGATGGAGCAAACGAACAGGTACACATACAATTTTAAATGCAGGACTGATCAATAAATCTGGCCAGCGCTACGCAGCGGGCGCATTGACTACGTCCTGGTCTCTGCCGCTCTCATGGGCAAGATCATCGAGTGCGACGCGATGCGCGACTGGGGCAATGGAGGCACGCGCGTGGATCATTTTCCAGTCGAGGCGAGGCTCAGAGCAACGACCTGCGAGGCAAGAGGAAGGAAAGCCATCGAACAAAGGCTGGGCACTGCGAAGATCAGAGACCAGCGGCGACTACGCGATCTTACAAGCGAGATGGCATCGATCTTACTGCCACACTGGGATTTATTATATATATACGCATGCCGACATGGCTGCCGAACAATACTGGGCTGCGGCGCCCAAATATTTTGCCTCAAACCAACTCGCACTTCTCGGGGCGCATGCCAGAGACGGCCCCGTTGAGCTACTGCGGCTCAGACGCTACGTCAAGAAAGCGCGACCCATTCTCTACCGTCGCAAGCCTTCACCATATGCATTGCTTGGAAAGCACCCACTCAGGCATATGGGCGACCTGGCGCCAGAAGACCGCCTATATGCCACGACAAGAGCTCCGAGATGACCGAGCTGCTTTTTTTTTACGAGAAAAGCCCCAAGAAATACCGGGGGCGATCGATGAGTGAAACGCCCAACGCGAAGCGAATGCGGCGCGAGTCCTCAGCTTCGGCGGCGGGAAGCGCGGCTTCTCCAACGGCGGAGAGCTCGCTTTGAGAACCAATCTGGCTTGCAGACTGCGCTAAAATGGTGAATCATCGCTGATGAGGCGATGATTCACCATTTTAGCGAAGTAGAGCAGGCCAGGATCACGGACATGAAAGGGCGTCGAGATGCGCGATAGGGGCGGGCACCCAGCGGCCAGGTCGCTTAGCCTGAGCATCGAGACGACCCTTACGGCTCACCAGCTGTAAGCAAGTTTCAGGAAAGAGAGCGGGCGAGCGACCAGGCGCAGATGGTATCCCAGACGACATCCTCAAAGCTACGGCAGCTTCATCTGCCTGCTGGTTCTACCCTGCCGCGGTCAAGACGGCCCTCTACATCCAGGAGCCATCATCCTTCGAACAACTCATCCTACGCGGGCTGCCCAAGTACGCGGACCTCATGGACTGGGCCAACAGAAGGAACATCTGCCCCAACAACACGGTCAGCAAGCACTACCACAAATGGCTCAGGAACGCGGCTGCCCAGACGATCCACGTCATGTTGAGGGGGAACCAGGTAGGCGGGCGCCCTCGACGCGTTGCATCGATGGCGGTTCTCCTTACGAGAACCGGCGTGCAGGTGTGCGCCAGTCGTGGGCAGTCGGCAGCGTGCACCTTCGTCGACCTCAAGAGTGCTTTCTACGCAGTCATCCGCTCCATGGGCAATCAGATGGAGCACTCGCTGGACGACATCGAGAACATCGCGCGCGACTCCGAGGTTCCGCTCCATCTGTGCCCGTTTGCCGAGGCAGCCTTGAAGGCCCCTTTCTGCAATGCAAGAGAAGGGATTGGACTCTCAGCTGGCAGCCTTGATCTTGGAAGCGAACAGGACAACATGGAGCCAGACCCCATCGCCGAGCACCATGGCATTAGCGAGACGAGGCGCGAGGGCAGGCAATGGGATCGCGGATTATGTGTTTATCTTTGTATAGGCCAGGGCGCTGCAGGAATTCGAGTGCCAGCTGAAGAAGGTTGATTGATTTATCCCACTGCGCGCTCACACGCCGAAGACCTTCGCGACGGAGCAGGGCAGTGAGTCACACCTACCAGACTTCACGCGCGCCGACGACCCCGTCATCATCATAGTGTGCAAAGACAACGCGCAGATCACCGAGGACGTCGGCACGGCGATCAAGATCACGCATCGCACGATGGCCAAGCACGGCATCCGAGTGAAAGCCAGCCCCGTAGAGTCGGCGGTCATGTAGCACATAGAAGGTACTGGCAAGTTGGCAGCGACGACAAAATATTTCGCACAGCCATGCGTTATCAAATCATCGTTATAACATAATCCAGGTGTGCGACTGTATTAACATCTTCGAATCCTCGTGACCATCGGCGACGACTGGCGACCAGAACTCCAAAGCCGCGCGGACGAACAAGGTCGAGCTATCAATGAAATGAGGCACACTATATGCAAGGAGCGCTCCATCTGACCCAACGAGAAACTGAAGTTCGTTCGCAGCTACGGCAACAGTCGACTCCTTTGGCAGGTAGAGACATGGCTTACGCTGCGCAAAGGAGTAGTATCCATGGCGACTACAGCTTACATGCGTGGCCTGAGGTCGGCGACGAACACGATCGCAAAGCCTGGCATGCTTGAGCAGGCCCCCGACCAGTCAGGCGTACTCGAATGGCAAGCAACACTCGCGGAGCTGCAGCGGCAGGCGGGCATCCCGCCCAAGGAACCACTGACGGACAAAAAACAACACATGTGCTACAAGCGCGGAAAGGTGACCAATTCAGTCGCGGCCTGGAAGATCCATCGTGCAGTAGTACACGACCCGGCTGACGTGGCCCAATGGGTTGCCATCGGCACGGCATGCCAAGCACGCGAGACAGATTTCCCTGCGCGCGGGCAGCGGGTGCGATATCTCCGCCACAGCTGCGGGCACTGCTTCGTGGGGATTGCGCCGCGCGGCGAGCTGGCCGACCACGGCGCGGCGGCCCGCGGCGGGCAGCTGGGCCTCGGGGGGGAGACAGGGGCATCGAGAATTGGAGGCGCCGCGACCTGCGCCGGTTGGCCCTCGCCCGTGGAGAAAGGCGAGAGGAGCGCTGATTGAGGCCTTCGTGAAATTGAGCCCCCCCCCGCCCGAGCTTCCGCCCATGCCGCCAGTGTGTGAAAACAGGTTTCCGATGCCCGATCTTAGCGAGTTCTTGCGCCACTCGATTCTGCTACTCTTCGGCGGCCATCGACGCCGTGGTGGCCTCCAGGATGTTTTCGGAAGCCTCTCAGGTGGCCCCTGTTGTTTTCGCTATCTCTGCTGGAATTCCAAACGATCCGAAGCCCAGCGATGCGACCGCCAGCGATGTAGCGCATGATTGTTCGGGGGGAAGTTCTAGCCGCAGAACAGATCGTAGCAGCCATAACAGGCCCACCATGCGAAGCATGGAGATCGGCCAGAACGCGCGCTTCCCCAGCGGTGGCAGCTCAGCCTCGCCCTGTCCGTTCCCGCGCCCCCCTATCGGGGTGCCCGAACCTCAGTGCCCGCGAGCGCCTACAGGTAGAACTAGGCAGTGCACTCCTACGCACAGCCGCGTGTTTTATGGTGATTTCGGCCCTGTCTAACATAAGCTGGGCAGTAAAGCGCCCGGCCCCAGCCTCGTAGACCCCTGCAGCGCCATCCTCCTGGTACTTGCCGAAATACAGGCCGCAGCAGAGCTGCCAGGAGTAGAGATGGCCACAATCGATCAGTGCTGTGTCGGAACGGTCAGCAGAAAGTCGACCGCACTTTTGCGCATTCACCTCCCAGAGTTCAACCGCATTGTCCAGTTGCACCCGACTGCAGGCCGATGCCGACGCCAGGCTAACGCCAAATGCCGTCGCAGAGCGGCCTTAGGCCCGGACGGGGAGGGAAGGTGCAGAACCAGCCCCCTCAAGGCCTACCCAGAACGGTTGTGCAGGCTAATCGCGGGTAGCATTTTGGAGCGTTGGACCCCCCTGGCTCAGAGAGGAGAAGCGGCAGCACAGGAGCACGAAGAAGCGCCCTTCGTCCCAGAGTACCTGCTGCCTTTTTACGTGCCCCTCGACCCGTACCTCCCTCGAGCCAGGGGGCAGGACTGTGCCATCTATAACACGCTTTGGGGATAGGGGTCGGCCATTATCGATGTCGATATTTGTTATTCGATTCCTTTTTCGTTTGGGCCGACCGATTCGATCGTCCACTTTGACCGACCCCACACTCTCTCTGCTCATTTCCCTTTAGCTTGATGTTTCGTGCCTGCTCGCCCCACCGCTCTCTCCGAGCTCAAGGCCTGCCAGGCCCTGTGGTTTGAGCCTGGCAGGGTGGACAGTGGAGTTTGGGAGGCCCTGGAGGCTTGCGTATTCCTACTATGTTGGAGTAGAGAGCGCGGGTGAGGCAGGGAGTCGTCCCCCAGACAGTGCTGGCACTCCTGTGGCCCTTGGTCCACGCCTTCGCGACTGTCTCGGGGTCCGCGCGGCTCCTGCTGCCCCGCGCGAAGGGGCAAGGCCCTGCCTCAGGACAGTCTTTCCTCCTTCCCTCGTTTGATGCCACGATCACGTCGTATCTTATTGTCGCCACCTGCCATCGCCCTCCCTTGTTGGCAGCCTGTCCTAAAACGTCTCCACTGTGCGCCGAATGACGTCGCAGATGAAGAAGACAAGCTAGGTGCGCAAGCGTCTTACCTGACGTCCTACCCCTTTTTCTCCCATCCCTTACCATGGCGTAGATCTCTCCTCGACTCGCAGATGAGATGATTGGCTGCGAATCGACAGTGGCCTTTAGATTGCGATGAGATGTGGGGAAGAGGAGGACGAGGACGAAAACGAGGAGGCGCATATGGAGGAGGAGGAGGAGGAAAAAGAGGAACTGGGCCCTCCTGTAGGACACCGGCATCTTCGGGTTCTACGGCCAGTGCGAGGAGGCGGCCGTGCCCGGCTGCGTTGACGAGCTCCTTTTCGGCGTCGCCAGCCTCGCCCGCAGCGTCACGGAGGAGGAGGCTGCGCTCGCGGCTCGCTCCATGCGGCTGGAAACTTTTGTTTGTCCCGTTGTCTTCGTCGTCGTCCTCCTCCCCCTCCTCCTCCTCCTCCTCCTCCTCCTCCTCCTCCTCCTCCTCCTCCTCTTAGCCTTCCTCGTGCCCTACTCCACCAAAGATTTTCCTCCACCTCCTTCGCCCTCCCTTCCTTTCTGCACTCTCTCTTCCATGTGTTCTTCTCCTGCACCTCCGCCCTTCTCCCGCCCTACTCCACTAACTCTTCTCCCTGCTCATCGTTATCCTCCTGCTCCTCTTCCTCGTCTTGGGAGGAGGACGAGGAGGATGAGGAGGCGATGCTCGCGGCGCGCATTGCTCCCTCCTTGTCTGCTCTCATGCGCCTCGCGTCATCATTCTTGAGGTTTTGCTGCCCCATCGCGCACACCTCCTGCACAGCCCGCCTTGCGGCTGGGTCACTGTGCCTCCAGGGACATCGTTTGCGAGCGCACGAGTTCCCCCCCCTCGGCGCACTGCGAGCGCCTTCTGCCGCATCCTCGGGGGTGGGCGCGATCGTCGTGTACCGTGTGCGCCGTCTCCTCGGAGACGGGTGTCGGGTTGGAGGGCGGACATCCACAGAAGCGAGAAGTTCAATGTTTGTCTCGCTCATCGGACTTTCTTGGAGGGCCACTTGGACCCCTCCCGGACTGTCTTGGGAACCTCTCGAGCCATGTTGTGGCCGTTCGGGAGCCGTCTTGGCCATCATGGGCCATTGCGGTGTCAGTTTGCTTGTCTTGGAAGTGGTCTGTTTGCTTTGAATTCCTGGATTCTCCAGTCGGCAGCGACGTGTTTTGCCGCGAGCACACCCAGCGGCGAGTCGACAAGGCCACCGAACTCCTCGACGCACTGGGTGCTCGGGAACACCCAAGTCGCGCTTCACCTGCTGCGACAGTGTGCTGGCTTTTGCAGGCTGAGTTACTCGGCCCGGGTCGCTCCGCCTAGCATGCACACGTAGGCGCTGATTGCTCTCGACAGCGCAGTCCGGGCCAGCCTCGAGCAGCTGAGCAGCAGCTCCCCGATGGACGACTCCTGGGCGCAAGCACAGCTTGCCCTCAAGGCAGGCGGCCTGGGGCTGCGCTCAGCCGAGCGCCACGCGCCCGCCGCCTACCTGGCCTCCCGCGCGGCCTGCTCTGGGCTCTGCAGGCAGCTCTGGGCGGGATACTCCGACGACTACACCGGCGCCGACGGCGCTCTGGGCGCTGCCGCGGCGTCCTACAACGCCTGGCTCCCGCAGGCGGGGAGGATCACGTTCGACGCCAGCCGGCACGGCGACCAGCGGGGCTTCTTCGACAACCTAGACGAAGCCGCCAAAGCCGAATTCTGGGAGCGCGCCAACCTCGCCACTAGGGCCCACCTCTCGCTGGCGAGCGCGGAAGGCGCCTGCGGCTGGCTGCAGGCGCGACCCTGCGCCGAGGTCGGCACGGACTTCCCGCGCGGCTTTATTCAGATCGCCCGGCAGAGGTGCCTGCGGATGCAGCTGGCGGACGAGGGGGCTTCCTGCCCGGCCTGCGGCGGCATGCTCGACGTCTACGGGGGCCGCGCGCTGGTGTGCCCCTGCCGCGGACACCTCGTGAAGCGGCGCAACGCTTTGCGCGACGAGCCCTTCTTCGCCGCGCAGGCCGCTGGCTTCCCCGGCGCCCAGCTCGAGCGGCCAGGTTTGCTGCAGCCCCGCCAGCGAGGCGAGGGCCTCCCCGAGACTGAGGAGGACGGCGGCGGGCTCGACGAGGGCGCCCGGCGCCCGGCAGACGTGTGCATCCCCCGTTGGCGCAGCAGCGTCCCGGCCGCCTTGGACTTCGCAGTCGCCTCTGGGCTGCGGGGCGACCAGCTGGCTGCCTCGGCCGGCGCGCAGCTGTGGCGCGGCCGGCATCACTTTTTTTTATCCCGACGGTGATGGAGGCGCACGGCGGCGCCCGGGGGAAGGAGGCATGCCGCGCGTTGGCCGTCCCGGCGAAGCGCGCGGCGGACGCCACTGGGCAGGGCCCCCGGGCAGGCGGCGGCGGAGCACGCCCAGCGACTCCCGCTTCTCCTTCGTAAGGAGAATGCGCGGGCCGTGCTCCGCCGGCTGTAGGCGCGGCGCGGGGGGCCCGCGGCCGCCGCCAGGCTGACCGCGGCTTCGGCGGCACAGGGGGCGGACGCCGCATGAGCGGGCGCCCCCTGGCCGACGACAACCAAGGCCCCCCGACGACCCACGATGACCCCCAGACCCCCGACGACCCACGACGACCCCCGACGACCCACGACGACCCACGACGACCCACGACGACCCCCAACGACTTCCGCCGACCCTCGCCCCCCCCCCCCGCCCCCCGCCCGCCCCCTGCGTGTCTGCTCGCCTGCTGCTGCCCTTGCCGCCCCCTTCCCCCTTTTCCCCTCCAGCATGATCGTGTCTGCTCGCCGCGTTTCCTCTCCTCCCCCTTCCTCCTCCTTCTCCACCTCCTCCTCCTCCTCCTCCTCCTCCTCCTCCTCCTCCTCTCTCTTCCTCCTCCTCCTCCTCCTCCTCCTCCTTCTCCTCCCCCTCCTCCTCCTCCTCCCTTTCCTCCTCCTCCTCCTCCTCCTCCTCCTCCTCCGCCTCTCCTCCTCCGCGCTGCGGTGCCGCAGTGTCAGTCCAGACTTGCTGGGCGGTCGGAAGCCAGGCCGCTTTTCGCGGGCGCGCCGTGTCCCCCACCTCGTTTTCCTCGTCCTCCCCCTCTTTGCTCCTCGCCCCGGCCGCGTTTCGCGATTGAGGGTGGGGGGCTGCCCCCTTGCAGCGGGGGGGTTCCACCACCGAGCCGGTGGCCCGAATGTCGGCCACGCTCGCAGGACAGATGATGACCGATATTGTTCTGGCTTTGCTCTTTGCGGGGCGCTTTTGGCGCGTCGGGCCTCCTCGAGCGGATCCCCAATCAGACCTACAGAGGCCAACTTCATTAACCTCCTATTGTTTCAGTTTCAGCACCTATTCCGTCACGAGTCTCTGAAGGAAGTGGTCTTGGAAGCATTTTGGGCCGAATGGAGGGCGAAACGAGCGCCAGAGAGCAAATGCAGGGGGAAATTCAGAACGACGCGTGCGTCGCCAGAGGGGGGGGGATCGGCCCTAGAAAGACGAACGAACTCTTCCAGACCAAGAAACGAGCTTCAGCCCCAATGGGGGCGGTCCAGGGGTGGTTGGACCGCGCAGACTTGACGGAAAGAGCGCTAGCGAGAGAAGTTTTGCACAGGGCTTTAGCCCCAATGGGGGGACCGCGTGGATTTTTCTAACACGCCCTCCGGGGGCCATGTTGGCGTTTTCTCGGCCCACGGCGGTTCAAGAGACAGTCAAGGGGTTAGACGGCTTCGTGTGTCTCGAAGGGTCCAAGAGACGCCCCAGAGGCGCCAAGACGACCCGAGAGCGCTCCAGGAGGGACGACGGTGCCCCCGAGACGGCCTCAGAGGCCCCCCGGGCGCCCCAAGAGGCCCCCACGAGGACCGCCAAGAGGGACTCAGGGGGAAAAACCATAGTTTGTTCTACAGTGTTTGAAGCATTTTGGGGTCCTCGTACCACAAACGGCCGCAGACGGCCCTGGAGGCCTCTGGGATCGCCCAGAGGCGCCCCCAGAGGCTTCCAGGAGGGCTCCAAAACGGCCCAAGAGAACCCCAAGACGGCACAAGAGAGCTCCACAGAACCCCAAGCGGCTCCCAGGAGAGCCCCACGGGGGCCACAGGAGGTTCCAAAGAGGGCCCCAAGAGCACCCCAAGTTCGCCCAAGCCCGGCAAGACGGTCCAGGAGGGCCCCCCGGGACGGCTCAAGAGGGCCCCGAATCGGCCAAGAGGGCCCGAAAATTGGACGCAAAGAGCCCCAAGAGGACTCCAGGAGGCCTTCAAGATGCCTCCCAGAGCCTCTCAAGAGGCTCCCCACGACATTCGATGACGCAACTTCAGGAGCGAACGGTGATACAAAAAGCTAGGATCTTCTCTATTGTCCTCGTCCTCTCCAAGTCGTCCCAATAATCTCTCTCACTTGCCAGCTGCCTCCCTCCCTCCCCCGCGTCTTCCGATGCCCCCTGCTCCGGCCACGGAGTACGCCCGCCGGCCATGGAATATGTGCAGTATCCCTTGCCTTCTGATTCACCCCGTCCTTTTATCCTTCGCAAACGCGCTCTCTCAGTCTTCCCGTCTCCTCTTTCCCCTCTTTCCCCTCTTGCGCTCTCCTCTCTACGGTTGCCGTCTTGACGGGCCTCGCACCCCTGTCTGCTCCAACGCTTCCGCACAACGATCCCTGTGTGTCAGAACCGCTGCCGCGTAGACGGCCGTCAAACCCTTGTGGCTATGCTCAGACGTCCGCTCCATAGAAGCGCTCTTTCCGTTTCCGTGCCGGCCCAGGTTCTAACACGCCCTCCGGTGGCCTTGTTGGTGGCTTTTTCAGCCCAGGACAGTCTATGAGACACCCAAGGGGCTCCCAAGACGGCTTCAGATATCTCGAAGGTTTCAAGAGACGCCCCAGAGGCGTCAAGACGACCCGAGAGCGCTCCAGGAGGGACGACGGTGCCCCCGAGACGGCGTCAGAGGCCCCCCAGACGCCCCAAGAGGCCCCGACGAGGACCTCGAACAGGGACTCAAGCGGCAAAAACAATCGATTTCCCTTCGGCTTTGACAGTTTTGGGGGTTCTCGCTTTTTCGGGCCAGAAATTGCCACTTCCCAACACGTCCGCAGAGGCTCCCTAGAGGGCCTGAGAACATTCCAAGAAAGCTTCAAGACGGCCCACGACAGCCCCAAGACGGGCCAAGGAGGGTCCCACAGAGGCCCAAGAGGCTCGCAGAAGAGCTTCAATAGGGCCACAGGAGGCTGCCCAAACCCCCCAAGAGGGTCCAAGAGGTCCAAGAGGGGCCCCCCGGACGGCCCAAGCGGGCCCCAAAACGTCCCCGAAGACCCCCAGGGGACCTCCAAGACGCCTTCCAGATGCCTCTCCGAGCCTCTAGCTGCTTTTGGGGCTTTCAGAGGCCGCTTCGCTGCC